GAGAGAGAGAGAGAGAGAGAGAGTAAGAAAGAAAGAGGTCGCGCGGCGTGTACCTGTATATCCGAATCGTCACACACCCTCTCTTAGTTTAAATCTGCGATTTTTCGCGGCGAAACGGAACGAGAAGCGACGATGATACGCGCCTTTTCTTTCCTATATCATCGATATAAATAGATCGAACCTTGTCTCGGGTTCTCTTCGGTTTTTCTTGTTTTAACGAGGCGCGCGATCGAGAAGGGGGGCGATGAAGAAGAGGAAGGGAACTTTTCGCGCCAACCGTAAAAAAGAAAAATGGGAGTGAAAGAGAGTAAGAAAGAGAGAGAGAGAGAGAGAGTGTGTGTGTGCGCGATTTGTTGGGACGACGAAGGATCGTTTGTTTCTTCTTTTTTTTCTTTTTTTTGTTCGTTCGTTCGCTCGTTCGTTAATCATTGTCCGTTTTCAGTTATCGCGTATCCTCTCGCGATTAAAGTCTCTAAAGGAGGGTAGAATCGTCGTCGTCGTCGTCGTTTCTCTCTGGAGAAGGAAGGGAAGAGAAGGGGAAGAAAGGATCGGGAAGGTATCGAGAGATCCGATTTTTATCGACATCGAGCTCGCGCCGAGACGAGAGACCGGATACGCGACAGGATACGCGAGGGCGTTCAATCGCCGTTCCTTTTTTTCTTTTTTTTTCTTTTGTAAATAAAGAGAGAAACGAAGAATGGGCGAAGAAGAAACGCGCGATGCGGATGTGGAGGATGTGTGTTGTCTCTTGCCAACGCGCGACACGAACGGGGGGAAGGGAGAGATGGAATCGAAAACGGGAATCGAAGAGATCGATAAGAGACGTTTTTATTTCTTTGTTTATTAATTTCTTTTTTTTTTTGTGGAGAAAGATCGAATGGAAATCTTCGTTCGCGAATTCGAGAGCTCTTGGAAATTTCGGTGGAAATTCGAGCTCTTCGATTTCTTCGACCGATTTCTCCTCGCCGCCATGCGTGAAATTTTTCAAAATCGAGGAGGGGGAGAGAAAGAGAGAGTGGTGATAACGGAGAGGTTGGAAAGAAAGAGAGTGCGTGTGTCGAAGAGTGCGAGAGAGAGAGAGAGAGAGAGAAGGAGAAGAAAAACGGGGAAAAGAAGAAAAGGAAAAAGAGAATAATAGGAAGGAATAATGTAAAGATTAGAAACTTGAAAATTAGAAGGAAAAAAACGTAGAGAAAATCGCACGCGCGAAACAAACAACGCAATGTTGGAAGATTTGAAAAGACGAAAATCCGCGAACGAAACGAATCATGCGTTTGAAAAACACTGTACACAGCTCCTCCTTCTCCCTGTATATTATTATAATTAAACATTAATTATTATTAACGTAAAAATAAAGATCTGGCGA